CCTCCCTACTCCCTGGCCCTCTGCTGGGGTTAAAAAGGAGAAGTGAAAGGTATGCAAATGACAAGCAAATTGGAAGATCCTGGAAGAAAGGCAGCTATAATAAACAAGACAAAGAGCAAGGACGTGGGGACTAGCCCGGGAGTTTTCACCGGGAGGGATGGGACGGGTGAGGCTGGGAGGAGAGCGGGGATCCAGACGAACAAAAAGCGACCCGGCCCCCCTCGCGGTCCTCTCTCCTGGGAAGAGAGGGCAAGAGAAAGAAGGAAAGGAAGGAAAAGCCTCCTCCCCCTCCAGAAACAGTACACAAAAGGTGACAAGATCGGCGACAAGTCCGGCACTGTCAGCCTCCCCCCCCCCCTCGCCACCACCCCCCCCCAGCCACCAGCAGGAAAGAGAAAGAAAGAAAAGCCAAGCGGATCACTTACTCGTAGGAACTGGGAGAGGCGGAGCGCTGAGTTCCACTGAGGCTTCTGCTTAGAAACTGTTTAGACACTATTTTACTATGATTCATTTAAAGAACACCGTTTTCTCCTGGGGAGGGTGGAAAGATGTTTACACGAGTATGAGTAACGGGAGTCTCTTTTCTTTTCTTCTCATTCAAGAACAAGCCGGTACAAGTGATTCTGGAAAAGGGGAGGGGACTCGCGAGGGGGAGAAGATACTTACTCGGTGCAGAGAGCAGTGGGACCGAGCCTTTTTTGCAGGCGGAGAGAGGAAAACACGCGCGCGCACACGCACGGTGAGATCTTGCGGGTGATGAATATGATAATTGGACAAGGGACGGTGAGTCCGTGCGGGAGCGCGCGAGCGGGCCGACGGGGAGAATGAGGGGAGAGAGAGGAGAGAGGCGAGGAGAGAGTGGAAGAGGGGAGAGAGGAGCGGAGCGGAGCGGAGAGGGAGCAGGCGGACCCGGCGAGAGCTCTTTTGCGCCGCTCTGCTTTCCCCGGCTGCAATGGTGTATTATTTCAGAGCGCTCCCTCAGCTGAGGGCTCCGCTCCACAACAAGATTTACTTTAAGACACAGCTGAAGGAAACAGGAAGACTGCACGTCACAGTCTGACTGACGTACCCGGCCCCAGCACCCAATCGCGAGGCGCCTTCGGATTCAAGGGGGGATAGCGAGGCAAGAGAACTTGGGAGGAAAAAAAAAATATAAAAGGGGTGGGGGTGAGGGGCTGGGAGGAGAGGAGGGGAGAGGGGCCCCGCGCTCCCCTC